TCTCCAAGCAGAAACAAACTGTGATCCGCCTGGGATGTCTTGAAGCCTCCACCCAGCAGCACCTCCTCCAGCTTCTCGTACCAACACCTGGGCGCTTGCTTAAGGCCATAGATGGCCTTCTTAAGCTTCACACCCGGCTGGTCCCATCCTCATAGCCGTCGGGCTGCGCCATGTAGATATCCTCCAGCAGCACTTTATTGAGGAACGCAGTGGTGATATCCATCTGCTTCACGTGCCATCCCTTCACAGCTGCGCCAGCCATCAAAGTCCTCAGTGTCACTGGCTTAGCAACGGGAGCGAAGATCTCCCCAAAGTCGACCTTCTCTTTCTGCTGAAACCCCTTGGCGACCAAACGGCTCTTGAACCGCTCCAACGCACCATCAGCACCACTCTTCACCTTGAAGACCCACTTGCTGCTGATCGGCCGTCGCCCCTCGGGTAACTCAACAAGCTCCCAAGTCCCATTCTCAATAAGACTGTTGAACTCCGCATCCATGGCAGCCTTCCACTCCTCCTTCTGGGGTCCACTCAGTGCCTCCTCCATTGTGGCTGGTTCTCCAGGCAAGGGTGTGAAGAAACAGAACGCCATCTCCTCATCCTCTCCCTCATCCGCCTGAACCGCCATGGCACCTTGCTTGGGTCCTCCCAAACGGCTATACTTCAGCCTTGAGGGTGCTTCTGCCACTCTCTTCTCGCGGGTTGTAATCTGCTGCCCATGTGGTGAAGCTCCTCTCTGCACACTCCTCTTGGTGACCTTGGCGGTTGCAACAGGCTCGGGCTGAGATGGTGAGTCCACACGTGCCGACTCATCCTCCAACCCCTCCTCCGCAGCAGGACCAGCACCTTGCTGCTCACCACCGCCACTGTGGTCACTGGTCAGCTCTGACCCAGGGAGATCCTCAAGGTGCAGCTGAACCTCCTCCACTACAGACCGCTCAATTTCCTGTAGACGCAAGCCAATCTGCACCTGCTGCTGCTGCTGCCAGTCCTTGTACATGACATCCTCCACAAACTTGACGTCACGGCTGACCAGCGTTTTCTTGCGCTTGGGGTCCCACATCAGCCACCCCTTCGAGTCAGGAGCCATCCCAAGATGGACAGCCCACACAGCAGCAACTTCCAGCTTGTGCCTCTGCTCCTTAGGCACCATCACAAGCCCCATGCAGCCCCACACCCGCAGCATGTCAATGGATGGCTTCTTCCCAAGCCAACGCTCGTACGGCACCCAGTGCTTGTCGCCAACATGCGTCAAGACCCTGTTCTTGACCGTGATGACATGGCGAACGGCTTCAGGCCAGAACTTGTAAGGCATCCCAGCAGCCCCCAACAAGGTCTTAGCCGCCTGGCCAATGGTCCGGTTGGCACGCTCAGCAATGCCGTTCTGCTGCGGTGTTCCTGGGCAGGGCAGCTGGTGTCGAATGCCGTTCCTCTTGAGAAACTTGGTGAATTCAGCTCCAAGGAACTCTCCACCACGGTCGCTCCTCAGCACCTTCACCAGCCGCATTGCTTGCCGCTCCACCATCGGCAACCAATCCTCCTTGATCGCCGCTACAGCATCGCTCTTCTTGGACAAGGGACGTGCCCAATTGAAACGGCTCCATTCGTCCACCATGGTGAGGAAGTACAGCACTCCCCCAGTCCCCTCAGTCCTCATAGGACCCACCAGGTCCATGTGCACCACCTCAAGTGGTGCCTTCGCTGATCTCTCCGCACGTGGAAACGGGAACCGCGCAAACTTGTTTTGCATGCACGCCTCGCAGCTGCTATAGTGAGTGCCACCTCCTTGCAGTTGCAGCCCATGCACGCACTTCTCCTTGTGCATCACCTCCAATGTAGATACAGCCACGTGTGCGAGCCGCCGATGCCAAGTCTCCCAATCCGCTTGGCCCGAGGTAGCCGACGCCTTCACCGCCGCGCTTCCTCCAATCAGCTCCTCTCCTTGCACACCTTGCTGCTCCTCCTCGGTGACGCTCTCCTCCATAGATGCCGCCGCTGCCGCCTTCCCCGATTTCTGCCAAGGGAGGACCGAGATCTGCCACATCCGCTTGTGGACATCCCCTTTCCACTGCAGGTCCCAAATCAGCCGCTCTTCGTTGTAGGCACGATAGCGCTCCGAGCCAATCGTCTCGGTGTTCACACCCGCATCTCCAAACGACCGGTAGAAATCAGGTTCGCGCACAAGTCCGGCACCCACAGCACGTTCTTCAGCCTCACGAGCTCTCCATCCGCTCCCATGAACTTGGCGCACCCCATGCCCATGACCTTTGCCTTGGCGCCCGTCGCGGATGTGACCGTAGAGATGGGTGCGGGCTGAATCTCATCGAGTAGGTCCGCACGAGGAGTCATGTGCCAAGAGCTCCCGGAGTCAATCACCCAATGGGTGAGGGGGTGTAGGAGAACCTTGGCAGCCATAGCGGGGTAGGTTGCGCCTTCGTTCACGAAGAAGAAGAACCTGGCCTTCCGCTCCTCAGATTTGCCGCCTTTCTCCTCATCCTTCTCCTCTCCACTAGCTCCCATGACTCCCCCACTCCTCGTGCCACCATGCTGGTTGCTCGATGAAGGCGGGGTCCAATCCTTGGGTCGTTGGTAGCACTTCCGCCAACGATGTCCGCGCTTCTTGCAGTAGAAGCACACCTCGCCTTGACCCCCGCCGCCATCCTCCTTAGGGTTGTCCTTGTTCTTGCCCTTCCACTTCTTCTTGAAGCCACTCTTTCCACCTCCAACTCCATAGCCAGCCCCCTCCTCCGAGCGCTCCACACTCCGCCGCCGCAAGTCCTCCTCTAGGATGCGCGCGCGAATGTAATCCACGCTCCATTGGGGTTGTTGGAAGTTGAGGTTGATCGCTAGGGCAGACCATGACTCCGGCAGCCGTATCACGATCTCCACGCATTGCACGAGCTCTGGGTACACCACACCGCCACCTTGTAGCTTCGTGAAGATGTCCCGCATCTCATCCAACACCGGTTGCATCGGCTCTCCATAAACAAACTTGATGTCGCGCAGCCGCCGCGCGAGAAGCACGATGCCGGTAGCATGTGTCGGTGAGTGCACATCCAGAAGCTTTCTCCAAGCCTTGGGGCCACACTCTGGATCACCCAAGAGGTCTTTGATGTGGTCAAGTTGTCGCCCGCCAACCGCTTGCACCATGAGCATGTACGCGTCTAACGATCGTTTCATCCACGCTCCTTTCAGCTCCGCGGCCTCCGGCATCTTCTCCTTCCCCTCCACCAGATCCAATAGCTTGTATTGGGTGTACATCAGCCTCATGCGGAAGCTCCAGTGCTCGTAGTCCTCCCCCATGAACTTCTCAATAGAGAACGCTTTCAGAGGATCCACGGTTGTAGGAGATGGTGTAGAAGTTGAGGGTAGCGTAGGGTTGGCTGGTAAGTGAGTCCCCACTCCTCCACCAGCAACTCCCCCCTGCCCTCCAGCCTCTCTACTTCTATCCATCTCGCCACTAGCACCTCCAGAGTTCGTACCAACCATATTGAGGCCTTATGAACGGTGAAAGCTTGAGAAATCGTTTGGAGAGAATTCTGCCAGAAATTTCGATTCTACGAAAATCGCCGTCGCGGACTTGATACTTCGAATTAGAACGCGATTCGACCACCAATCGAAAGATCGCGAGCAGAGATACTAGAACATGGTCTCACTTGTCAACATTGGTTGCAAATTCACGACGATTTGTCGTCTCAAAGTCGACTACCCGCTCTGATACCACTTGTTGTTCAGGATCCGTCACTTTGAGAACTTACGACGAACTCATTTCTCAACTAAACGCAAATCCGCTCGGTAGGAAGTTGCGCCTTAGGCTTAGCTACCATCTCCAAGTTGAATCATTCGTTAAGATGGTCTATACAGTGAGAACCAAGTAAAAACGTCTAGCAGCCGCATGAGTAGAATGGTAGAGAAAGTACAAGTATTAGAGCATAGGAAGTTGGAGTTGGGGGCTCCAAGAGAACCATGAGAGGGAAGGAGTTCTCCAAGAGCTAGGGAAGGATGGTAGGAACCTTCCTAGCAGCAAGGATGCAACCCTCATCATGAGGTCCTTGAGGTGTCACATGCAAAATCCAATCTAGTTGGATTTTGCCTAGGTGTTGCAACATTTGCAACCCATGCTAGAAACTTCTAGCCACCCCAATCCAAAAGTCAAGGTTGCCTTCCCTAACCACCCAACCAAAGATCCCTTTATAGTCATGTCCCAAGTAATCACCCAAATTAGATATAACCCCAAAAGGTAATAAGAAATCCAAGTCTTGGAAATCTTGTAACTTGGGCGATCTTGGTCGGAATAAGGCGATCTTGGTATCGTTGGAAAGCTCTGGATTTCTCCTGCATGATCAAGCATTTAAACTTGGAGAAAAACACAGAGATGAAAATATCCAACAGCCATGCACAATGACATATGCTCATGCAAACAATGCACGCATGAATAGCACGAGCACTCGGCAGGACGTTAGGATGACATGCACTCAGAATGACGTGCATCCAACAGTATTAACAACACCCAGCACCTTTTTTCCAACTCGACGGCATCAACCCGAGTCATCAGCGCAGCGTCGCGCATCGTCGACTCTTCAAACTTAGTGGTAGTGGATTCGTAATTTATCATCACAGTGGTAGCGGATTTGCAATTTATCATCACAGCCTTTCTCGCAGCCGCTGCGGTTCTTATTTCCACTTCCTGGCTCTCCTTTCTCCGCCGCCGTCGCTCCCTCCCCCCCGGCCCTTCCCCATGGCCCATCCTCGGTAACCTCCCGGACCTGGGACCCTTGCCTTACCGCTCCTTTGCGAAGCTGGCCGACATGTACGGCCCGATCCTGACCGTCTGGTTTGACTCCACGCCGTCAGTGGTGGTTTCGTCGCCGGAGCTCGCCCGCGAGGTGCTTAAAACGAATGATAAGTTCTGCTCGTCTCGCCCCATGACTCGCACCTTGGCGATTCTCTTTCTCGACGGCAAAAACATCGCGTTTTCGCCACCCAACGACCGTTGGCGAAAGATGCGACGGCTGGCGACGCTCCACCTTCTGTCTGCGAAGAATCTGCAGAATAGCCTTCATGTGCGAGAGGAGGAGATTTGCGACATGCTCAATTCGATCGCTGCAGACGCATCTGCTGCTTACGCATCAATGAGTACTTCGGATGCGACTAGAATGGGCGCTGCTACTACTACTACCGGAGGAACCGCAAAATCTGCCGCCGAGTCGGAAGATGGGGTCATAGTAGAGGTGCGAAGGTATATGAATCGCGCGACGCTCAGCAACATTATGCGCCTGACCGTCGGGAAGCGCTTCGGTTATTCCTCGATTCGCGGGGCGGCGAGCACCACTATGAAGGCGATTCTCGAAGCTGCGATGCGCATCGACTGGAACGAGCGCATCGCCGCAATCAGCGGCAAGAAAAGCGGAGGCGCGACTCGCTGCGGCGCTGCCGACGAAACGGAAACGGAAGAGGAAACGGAATGCAGTACTGCTAAGACCAACTTATCGCCTTCAATGGAGGGAGCGGAAGGAGAAGTGGCATTTGCGATAATCGAGGAGGGTTTGGCTCTTGCGGGAGCATTCAATATCGCGGATTACGTGCCGTGGCTGAGCTACTAGGACCCGCTGCGCATGTATGCGCGCGCGCGCAGCGCCTCGCGCTGCAGCTACACAGTTTCATGCGCGCGTGCATCGCGGAGCGACGCGCGCTCGTGCGGCAAAAAAAACGCACGGAAGAAGAAGAGACCACTCTTGTTGATGCATTATTCGAGATGGAAGGGGAGGGGGAGGATAAGATGGATAAAGACGAGATACTGATGCTCGCTATTGACATGATGACTGCTGGCACTTATACGACCTCCAAGACCGTCGAATGGGCGCTTGCTGAGCTGGCGCAGCACCCCGACATGCTGGACACGCTGCGCACTAAGGTGGATGCAATGTATGCCAGGTCAGCAAGTGCAGCCACCAAAACGGGGGCGGATAGGGCAGGATGGTCGGATGTTATGGTATCTCTGCCAGTGGTGGAAATGCCATACCTGCAGGCAGTGTTAAAAGAAACACTTAGGCATCATCCGGTTGCTCCGTTTCTCGTTCCCCACCTGACAACTGGCAGCGTAACTCTCAGTGGTTACCACATCCCTCCCAACACCATGATCCAGATCAATGGCTGGGCTCTCGCGCACGATCCAACGGTCTGGATTAACCCGCACGAATTCGACCCCTCCCGGTTGCTTGGCCCTGCTGCCCCTGATGTGACAGGGCAAAATTTCAGCCTGCTGCCCTTCGGTTCGGGCAGGCGCGGATGCCTTGGGACAAACCTGGGTTTGGACATGTGTGCCCGCCTGCTGGCAAATTTCGTTCTGCGGTTTGATTTCAAGTTGCCCAAAGATGTGCGGGCAGCTGGAGGGATGGACATGACGGAAACTTTTGGGCTGACCATGGCTCTGGCCAAGCCACTCAGAATGGTGTTGAGGGAGAGAAAGGTGGTGGCAGGGGCAGCTGTGGCTGCTTCAGGAGCATGAGCTGCAAGGGGTGCTTTTGGGTTTGAGCTCGGTTGAGCAGCAGGCTACTACCGTAATCTACGTACAATAATCGTGTTTGCTTGCACACTCTGGAAGGGAGGCCTTTTCCAGCCTTAGTTTGGTTGCCTCTATGGCATTTGGGAGTGTGAAGGGGTGAGTGACAGAAGCGCATGAGGGGTGGGGGTTGCAATGCAAGGCTAAAGACGAAAGACTCGTGATTGGAACTTCATGCTACCGCTGTTCAGTCCAACCTTGCCTATGCATACCATGCCACGCATGGTTGGTAGGAAATTGTCTTACCCCTGCTTTGTCTTGCCTTTTGCTTTGTGTTATGAGTGTTACCTTACAAACTTGAACCATTGTACCCATTGGAACTTCATGTAGTCAAAAGGCAAGCACACAAGCTAAGAGAAATCAAGACCTGTGCAAGATCCCACCTCACCAGCATCCCTTTAGTTTGAAATTCAGATCCATACAGTGCTATGCTCTGCATATTAACAGTACAAACCTGCACTCCGTGCGTTGCTTTGACATGGCAGATCAGAAGTGCTGAGTATAGGTAACACCAGCGCATGGGGTCTGGACTGGGATGAGGTTGCTTATGACAGGCAAAGGCCCGGATTGGACCCTCCATCCATCCATGCGGTTTTGTGCCATGTTGCCGTGCATGTACGACTAAACATTTGTTTATGTACAGAGAGGTGGCTACTCATAGCATACATGTACATGTACAAGGCAAACAACCGTAAGGTACTGCTGCTTTCCAGCTTCGCATGGTACATGGAGAAACACAGCGGTAGGCAGGCAGTCCTCCTGGCTCTCTCTGGCTGACCCCACCATCCAGAATAACAGACGGAACGAAAGAATCTGTTCCATGGCAGCTACCTACAGGAACATCTGCTGTTAGGGAACGCTTTTTCTTTTGCAACTACTACGGTATGATTAAAGCTCGATTCTGTGGATCTACATTGGCAAGATGTCTTCTGGAAGATCGGGGAAACAGGCTTCAATGAAGGCATCGAATTTGGAACGCAGGGCGGTCACAGGGGGAACCACAGGAAAAAAAGCAGAGGAGCAAGAGGGGTGGACGTGTGTTGAGTACGGTATTAGTGCGGTGATAAACACGAGTCTACGCTGGCAGTCTTTGGGAGGAGAGGGAGTGAGGCGTTTTCTAAGAAGATGAGAGAGATGCACGCAACAGGATGGTAGAATTGGGAGGGCGGAAAATGATGGAGAGTGGTGGAGCAGGGTAAAGCGCGGTGGAGAATGGCAGTGTTGGAGTCATACAGGCCTTCTCTGTAGGCTTCTTTGCTGCCGGAACCTTCCCGAAAATGGCTGCATGGAAAAGTTTTCTAGGATCGTGCTCTGAAGAAGAGAAGCAACACCCAAGGTCAGAAGGATCAGGGGCACGTGCGTGCACTGCATACCTGGGAACTGGATGAGACGCGTGAGTGGATGGATGAGATGAGAGCATGAGAGGCATACGATGCAAGAGATCTACACACGGTAAATGCAATAGACGTGTAAGCCATGGCAGGTGAGAGGAGTTTACAGGTGACAAGAATCCGCAGGTGAAAAGATCTAAAAGGTGAAAGACAGGTAACTGATAGACCCCTTGGCAGGCTTACCAACATCAATCACACCACCCACCTCCACTCCCAGGGTTCACGAGGTAAGCGGGAGTGGAGGTCGCTTCAAGCTGCGGCCAAACACGCAAGGGGGCAGCAAGGGCAGGGAGGGAAATACGAGCGCAGGGGAGTTTTGACCGACTCAAAACGCACGCATTGAAAGGGATAATGCAAGGGGGGAGTGAAGGCAGGGGGGAGAGGAGGGCGAGCCTGGGGAGAAGTTGACATAGAACAAGGGGGGGGGGACCTACAAGTGAACATGAAATACGGAAGCGAGGAGACGTGAGAACACAGGCGCAGGTGAAATACAGGAGGGAGGAGGAGGGGGTTACACGGGGACGAAGGGGAAAGGTATTGGGAAAGGAGAGGAGAAGGATGAGGAGAAGTTGATAGTAACCCCTGTGGTACCCCCAGCCCAACACATCAACACACCCACACACACACGAACACCCCCCCTCCCCCCCCCTCACCCCACATCCCCCACCCCCACCCCCCCTTTCGTCCTCCAACACACACCTGTTCTGCCAGCTTGGTAGCAAGAGCAAGAGCCTCCTTGCCCCCAGCAGCAACAGCAGCGGCCAGAGCAGCCGCGGCAGGCTTAGGAGCGGAGGCAGACGGGGCGAAGGATGGGTGGAAGGAGAACCCGTCATATCCTGCCAGGAAGTATTAGGCTGCTTGAGCACTGGAGGCAACACCTAGGAGCTGGGAGGGGGGGAATGGGGGATGATGGGGAATGATGGGATGTGGAGGAGGGGTTGAAAGCAGCCCCGTTGTATCCTGTTTGCTTGGGGGAGGCCGCTTGCTTGGGGGAGGGCTTGAGCACCAGAGGGAGCACCTTGGAGCTGGGAGGGGGGATGGGGGTTGAAAGGGGGCGTGGGGCCAAGGAGACAAAAGAAGGATGTGATTTGAAGGTGCTGCAAAAACGTGCCAGGAAGTAGTAGGCCGCTTGCTTGGGGGAAAGGAAAGCTTGAGCACTGGAGGGAGCACCTTGGAGCTTGGGGGGGGGGGAGGATGGGGACGGGATGGGGGGTGATGCGGGATGATGGGGGGTGGATGGGTAACGTTGGGGGGCATGGGGGCAAGAAGCAGGGGAATGTGAGGTTGAGAATGAAGGGAGAAGAGGGGAAAAAGGTGGGGAAGGTTGGGGGTGTTTGGGAGGGATTGCTGGAAGGGGAGTGGGTGTAAGCTCATTGGTTGCTGTTTGACTCGCTTGCGTCGCGTTGTGGTATGGCAAGCGGGGTCAAGGCATGAATCGCGTAACCGATGCACATGACACATGTGTATGGCATACACACATGTGACATGACGACACATGCCACATGCTCATGCACATGCCACATGCCACATGCCACATGAAGCATGCACATGCCACATGAAACATGCACATGCCATGCCATGCCATGCCACATACCTGTCACCACAACCACCACTGCTACCTGTCTCATCCTCCTTGCAGACTAACATACTCACTCTACTCACTCACTCACGCACTCGACTCACTCACTCACTCACTCACCCACCTAACAACACGTCTGCTTAACAACCCCCACCTGTAACCGATCTAGCCAGACCTCTCAAAATCGAGCCACACCACACGCAACCCAACCACCCCCCACCTGTCTGACGTCAGCAGCACCACTGCATTCGGCTTGGGGTACAGGCTCGGTGCCGAAGCATCATTGACCGGAAAGAGACGTGCCACGCCACCCGCGCTCCACAGGAGGGAATCTTCCGGGAAGGCGGCGGACTTGGGGAGGACAGGGGGGGCGGATGGGGGAGAGAGGAGCAGGCAGGAGCCAGGCTTTCTTGAAATTAAACTGGAGAGCGGGGGAAGAGACAGGGGGATTGTGCGAGGGGGGGTTGGGGAAGAATTTTGCAGGAAAGATAGGGAGAGACGGCAGGTGAATGGGGAAAGGAAGAAATGAAGGGATGCAATGGGGAGAGGGATATGGACCGGGAACTGGTGGGTGTATACCTGTCAAGGAAGCACCCGGGCAGAAGCAGAGGCAGCAGAAAGAGCCGCAGCAGTTTCAAATCGCCTAAGATGAAGGAATAGTGGCACTGCACCCCAGAACTTAGCAGCAAAACCGGGGTGACTTTTGAGTCGACTCACAAGTGATTTTTGAGTCGACTCACAAGTGATTTTTGAGTCGACTCACAAGTGATTTTTGAGTTGACTCACAAGTGATTTTTGAGTCGACTCACAAGTGATTTTTTTGTCGACCCACAAGTGATTTTTGAGTCGACTCAGAAGTGATTTTTGAGTCGACTTATAAGTGATTTTCGAGTCGACTCAGAAGTGATTTTTGAGTCGAGTCAGAAGGAATAGTGGCACTGCACCACCCAGCAGCACCACGCAGCAGTACCCACCTGGCATTGAGCAGCAGAGCGCCCTTGGAGAGCATGACGGGGCCAGCAGCAGCAGCGAGCAGCTTCAAGCCGCGTCCGCCACCGCAGTGCCATTGACGATGAGAGAGGAGGTCTCCCAGTCCAGGGCTATCAGGCCCTCTCCTGTCGTGTAGCTCCTGGGGAGGAGAGGGATGGGGAGAGAGAATGCGCGGGAGGGAAAGACAGGGAGCAGTGCCAGTGACAATGAGAGAAGAGGAGTCCCAGTCCAGTGCTATCTGTCGTGTTGCTCCTAGGGAAGAGGGAGCGAGAGGGAGAGGAGAGAGAAGTGTGAGAGTACGACGGCTTATGCTGGCTTTGCTAGCTTGCCAGGACTTTATTCTGCTATTTCTAGCTTAGGTTTATTTTATCATGCATAAATATGCTTGATTTCCTAGGTTAGGTGCATTCATATATTTTATTATAGTTATAGCACCAAACCAGGTTACGTGTACCGAACTCAAGCCTATTCGGTTTCCACCGAATTGCTTTCTACCGAGTTCGGGAAGGTTCTGTTCGGGACGCTTCGCTACCCTCAGAACATTCGCGTAACACCTGGGTTACCTGCCTTGTGTCGAGCCTATAAATAGCCGCGCCTTATACCCAGGTGGATCATTCAATTGGAACCCTCTTTTCTGAGCTCGATCCTTATCCTCACACTTAATAATCAGAGCCCGTTTACACGCAAAAGCTTTTCGACCGCTAAAACCGAGTCTTAAAAAAACCACGGGGGCGACGCCTGTTAAACACCGGTTCTGTCTTTTTCACTCCCCCTCGTTTTCGGTTTTTCAAACGCGCAATGTCAGGAATGGAGGGCCAGGGCGACAATTACGTGACGACGAGCGACATCGCCAGCCATCGTACTGACGTGGAACAGACGCAGGCAGCGATTCGGTGAATCGAGGCCCTTCTGACAAACCAATCCGCAGCCGCCACCGTAGCAGTCAATGCAGCAGCGAACGTAGCAGCACCGGCGGCGACGTCAACATTTCACGAACCGATGGCACCACCTTCGCCGAACCTCGAAGCAGCTCGCCCGAGGCTCCCCGAAGCATTTGATCCAAGCGTTCGACGATTCGTGGCGACCCTCGAAATTTATTTCGAGTCCATTAGCTGTTCGACCCTGACACACGAGGCAGCACGAATTCGGCTCGCAGTGACACTGTTGCGGGAACCAGCACTTTGAGTGGATCTACTACAGTGACGTGGCCCGCGGGGAGAAAACGTGGGCGTAGTTTCGGTCAGACCTGATCGAACGTTTTGAGCCAATTAATTCGGTGTATATGGCGCGACAGCAGATTCACCGACACAAGCAACTCGGGAGTGTAGCACTTTACATGCAGCAGATGGAGCAAATTTTCAACTGCATCACCGACCTGACCGAGGGCGAAAAAATCCAGGCGTACACAGAAGGGTTAAAATTGGAGATTCGCCGGCAGGTTATCGCGGCGAACTATAGTAGCTACCGGGACATCGTGCGCGCAGCCGAACGATACGACCCCATGGGCCGAACCGTACATTCAGCACGGAACGATCGGCACCCCCCACGTGCACCGAACCGATGGATATCGACAGATTCGATGCAAAGCAGCAGCCGACAAAATGCGAGTTTTGCGGCGCAGCCGGACATCAAATCCTGTCGTGCTACAAAATGAAAAAGGCACGCGCGGCACTGCTGAGCGGCAACAGTGGAGCACCCCCGAAGTAAAAAAACGGGAATCGCCAGTAGCCGCGGGTCGTCCTGGCGATCGCGCAAAGATCCGGAAAGAGAAAAATGGCGGCGACCTGGCGACTTTGGAGCGGGTGAAAAAAGGAGAAAATGATGACGCGAATATAAAATGTCACGACCGATCGGCATTAGGGTAAATTGCCGAGGCAAATGGCAGCTCCGCGAAAAAAGACTCTGCACCGACCGGGAAACTCCAGCCGAACACCCATAAAAGTAAGAATCTGTTAAAAGTATGCTATAAAGATACTTTAACGAAGAATATTGCTTCTCGTGGTTTTCAAGCCTTTGAAAAATTCAGGGGAAATTTAGAGGCCAAGAAAAAGCATTTAGAAATTATTCAGGTACCTGAGAAGTTGGGCAAAGTACTACGGAGCGTAGAAAAGGGTCGTGCGTTCTGTGAAGTTAACATTCTCTCCCCGCAACACCGTTTTAAGGCTCCCCATCGCCCACATGTGAAGCTTACACAGCTGCAAAGGCTTAGAGGACAATTCCAGGCTCAGGAGAAATTATACAAGCCTCGGAAAAATCCTCCTACCCCCCCAGGTGAAGTTGGAAGTTAAAAGTGCCGAGTCAGGTATTGGAAATAGGGAAGGTAATTTCTTTTATGTACCTTATGATCCTATTAATGAGACTATCTTCGGTTACTCAGCCCAGCAGGAAACCACTACTCCTCGAGGTGTTATGCAAAGGATGACGCTGTCAAACCACCTCTTTCCTAGTGCATTCATTCCTCGTTTTACTTCACATAGTATAGAGCAGGTTCCCTAGTGGGAACTTTTCCTAGGGCCCACCGAAATCGATTTTTTTTTTTCCTGCCCGGAGCGCGCTTCGCCCCTGCCCTAGTCGCGCCCCGTGTGCCGCCCTCCCGTCGCGTCCCCTGCCCTTAGCGGCCCGTCGCGCCCTCTCACGGCCCTTAGCGGCCCCTTCGCGGCCCCCTCTCACGGCCCTTCGTGGCCCCGTCGCCGCCCCTCACGGCCCCTCGCGGCCCCTTAGCGGCCCCGTCGCCGCCCTTCGCGGCCCCGTCGCCGCCCTCCGCGGCCCCGTCGCCGCCCTTCGTGGCCCCGTCGCCGCCCTTTGCGGCCCCGTCGCCGCCCTTCGCGGCCCCGTCGCCGCCCTTCGCGGCCCCGTCGCCGCCCTTCGCGGCCCTGTCGCCGCCCTTCGCGGCCCCGTCGCCGCCCTTCGCGGCCCCGTCGCCGCCCTTCGCGGCCCCGTCGCCGCCCTTCGCGGCCCTGTCGCCGCCCTTCGCGGCCCCGTCGCCGCCCTTCGCGGCCCCGTCGCCGCCCTTCGCGGCCCCGTCGCCGCCCTTCGCGGCCCTTCGCGGCCCCTCGCGGCCCCCCCTTTGCGGCCCCATCACCGCCCTTCGCGGCCCCGTCGCCGCCCCTCGCAGCCCCTTCGCGGCCCTGTCGCCAGCCTCCTCGGCCCCTTCACGGCCCTGCCACAGCCGCCGCCGCCACCGACAACAGCAGCAGCCGCCGCCGCTGCCGTGACAGCCGCCGCCACCGCTACCGGGGCAGCAGCCGCCGCCGCCGCCGCCGACAGCAGCAGCAGCCGCCGCCGCTGCCGTGACAGCCGCCGCCACCGCTACCGGGGCAGCAGCCGCCGCCGCCGCCGTCGACAGCAGCTGCCGCCGCCGCCGCTACCAAGGCCGCAGCCGCCGCCGCCGCCGCCGCCGCCGACAGAGGCACCGCCGCCGCCGTCCCGGCCCTGCCCTGCAGCCGGGGAGTGGCCCTCCTCTGCCACCCTGTCGCGGCCGAGCCCCTGCCGGTGCGCCTCGGCCCTGCCCCTCCACCTACGGGCCTCTACCCACCCGCCCTGGTAAGAGCACTCCCGAGCAGAGCCTCTGCCACTGAGCTGCCCCTAGCCTGCTGCTCCTGCTAGCCTGCTGCTGCCACTGCTGTCATGGCTACCCCTAGTGTTCTTACCTTTGATGCTGAGGGTCGGGCTGTCGACTTTGAGGTCTGGGTCGATGATCTGCAACTTTTCCTACAGTGCGATAGGACAGACGGTCTCTCCCTGTTCGATCTCACGTCTGGTGCCTCTCCTGCCCCTACTGCTGATGTTGACAGCACTGTTCGCTCACAGTGGGCCACACGCGATGCTGCTGCCCGTCTTGCTGTGCGTCGTCACTTGCCGACCACTGAGCGTGCGCACTTTAGTCAGTACAAGAGTGCTAAGACCTTGTACGACGCTGTAGTTGCACGCTACTCTTCCCCTGCCACTGCTGCACTTAGCCGCCTCATGCTGCCGTACCTGTTCCCTGACCTCGCCGCCTTTCCCACAGTCGCTGACCTCTTTACGCACCTTCGCACTAGTGACACCCGCTACCGCGCTGCGCTTCCTGCTGATTTCTGCGCCAAGAAACCCCCCCCATGTACATCACCCTCTACTACATAGTCACCCGGCTCCCTGACTCTCTTCGCTCGATCAGGGACCACTTCCTCTCTGTTTGCCCCACCAGACTCACCGTTGACCTCCTCGAGGAGCGCCTCCTGGCAGCTGAGAAGAGTATAGTCGCTGTAGGAGCCTCTCGTGGTGACCCTCGTACCCCCTTCTTTGAGGGGTGTTCCCCCTCCCCCCTCTTGCCCTTTGTTGCCTCTGCTGCTGCGGCCGACCTCGTTGGCCTCGAGTCGGTCGGCGCTGTGTCTGCCCCTAGCGGGAGACGCCGCACCGGCAAGGGCAAGGGGGGCAAGGGCGCTGGAGGAG